CCCCCCCGTGTCTCTCTCACGTTGCTTTCAATTTGCCCAAAGCTAACGTCTCCCCCCCCCGTCTTTTCTCGCGCATAGGACTGCACGTCGGTCGAAGAAGGCGATCGCATTTGCACGCGCGAAGATGGAATCCGGGAAATCCCCGGCGGAAGCCCTGCGAGCTAGTTTCTTTCTTGAATACGCGGGGAGGGAGTATGAATGTCTCTCTCTCTCCCTCCCCCTCCTCATTACGCGTGTGTGTGTATGTGTATGTAGTCGCCACGAAAGGGCTCGCTTCATCCCCAAATTTGAATCTCGACCGTCTCGCGTGTGACTTGATCTTCAGTGCACCGTTGTTGATCATCGCCCGGAAGCCGCCGAAATTTCGCTGCAAATAATCCTCCTTGATCGCTTTTGGTGCGTAACGGCTTTATAAAGTACGTTTTTCTATGCTCCGTGTAAATTCGCTTCCGCTAATTCAGTCCGCTAATCGCGCGGACGCAGCACCGATCTTCGAAAAGTTCACGCGAATCGAATCGATGTTCTCTCTCTCTCTCTCTCTCTCTCTCTCTCGTGACGAAGCGCAACGACGCACAATGATTACGTTCCGAGATGAATTTGAATGGAAGGGAAAATGCGAGGAAAGGGAGGTCTTTCCGCGGGGACGTCGCTACGAGAGATCGCTTAATTCGCGCGTTCTTTATCGAAAAGACGGGACAGAAGACGGGACGCAAGAGGGAAGTTAACGAGATTCAGCGCGAGGCGCGAGAAACGGTGTTGTAATCGTCGTCGGGAAGAGTACGCAGAACTTGGGCGAACGACGAAAAAAAAAAAGAGAGAGAGAGGAACGGACGGTCGTTTTCCGCGTTGTTTGATCGCGCGTTCACCGATCGAGAATCCGGCGCGAACGGTCGAGACCACGCGAGAAAGAACGCGCAGCCTCTCGAGAGATACGTATATACACGGCCGAATTTAGCACGTTTGTTCTCCCTAGTGTGTACCAACCGCTGTTATTGGCACAAACAATACATCTGCGCCACGTACGATCCGCACACACACACACATTCTACTCAGCCACCCGCCCGACCGGCGGGTGGGTCGCGGGAGAGAACGTGTTAATCGTCACTATGAAGCGGAATGAATTACTGTAGCGAGGCGTAGTGTTTTTTTCTCTCACACGGTACATACACACACACACACACACACACACACAGGACACAGCGCGTCCCCGCGAAATTTAAGATTCACCGAGTGTCGCTCCGTATGTGTGAGCGCGTGTGTGCATGTTTGTTGCGTGGTTGTTATGTGTATTACAATAATGGCGACGACGATTATGACGATGATGATGATGATGATGATGATGGCGCGAGGGAACGGCGCTATTCGGCCGGTCGACACTGTGTTGATAATACGCGGTGTTGATGTACTTTGGGAACGGACACGCGGACTTTCCGATCTCGGATGCGCACGATTGCGACGAGGACTGCCAGGAGGCAGAAATGAAGAACGAAGAAAGAAAGAAGGAACGAACGAACGAACGAACGAACGAACGGGCTACCTTCCCGCGCTTCGCACGCTGCATATTTCCGTCTGATTTCTCTTAACGCGAACACGTTCCTTCGTATGATTCCTCGCCGATGAAGACCACGACGGCGACGATGAGGAAAGGTCTACGCATCTCTCGAAGAGATCGCAAGCTCTCCGATTCTCCGTTCGATTTCGCAACAGAATATATCCCAGGTATAATTACACTGTTCTTATTAAAGAAGGAAAAAGGAAAAAATGGAAAAAAAGCAAAATATCGACGTGGTGCGATCGCGTCCCGGGGAGCGAAGAAGCGTCTCGAGGGAAGACGCATACATCTCGGGAACGCTCGCGATCCCGACGGGAGAGGAGGGAGGAACGATTGCGAGATTCGAAATTTCGATTTGCGCTTGAGTATTTAAGAGAGCTCACCCGCTCGGAGTTCGGCTTTGAGTTGCTGGCGTGAAACGTCCATTTCCACTTTCAGCGTGTCCCGCCCGACGAGAATCAAGGGGCTCGGAGAACACTCGCTCGTCCTCTTCGAGAACGCCGTGAGGTCGGAGGAGGAGGAGAGCAACGGTGGAGCTTTTCTCTATCTCTCTCACGCGCATACGGTACACCACACTCCATCCAGATCCACGTCCAAATGCCAACCAACCTTAGTGAAGCAGTAATAACGATAATAACGATAACGATAATGATTACTAAATAATTAATACCGAAGACATCGCGCTAAGTATAAGGGGAACGTAAGAAGCCGGAGGAGGGAGCGAGAAAGACAAACCTGACGCGGGATGTGACGCGAGGACGATGCGGATGTGACGCGAGGACGGCAGGATTCAGGATGAGACGTCGGGGATCCCAAGGATGCCGAGACGAGACGTCGAACATTCGACGACGAAAGAGGGAGCGAGAGTCGTTGCTCCGACATGCGAGCGATCGCGTCGGCTCGGTCTGACATGACCGGTGCGTCGCTCGATATATTGCGGAACGTTGAGGACGATTTCGAAAGAACTGAAATAAGTTTCAGTTGTGAGGAACTTCGGGCCGTCGATCAGTGATTCTCAGATTTTCCGCATCGCGGCTGCGCGACAAGACGCCACGGATGTCATCCTGGGTTCTTGGGCTTGACTTCCGGCTTAATTCGATTTATACATCCAATTCCTCTCATATTTAATCTCTCTATTTAATACGACGTATATTTGTTTTGTATTATTTCACTGTGAGAGTAAAAAGTCAAGCCTCTGTTTTCATGTTATCCCTCGGCGAGATAATGCATTGCGTTCACTTCAAGCTGGGGCCAAATCTGAGGACCACTGAGGCGCGCACTATATTTGCACTATAACCGCACAGTAGCGCTTGTACCTCCGCGAGTCCATTGCATAAACGATTCGGCCTAATTTTTCACATCCGGAGTGATATTTTACTTGACACACACGCACGCACGCACGCGCGCGCGCGGTCGCGCGCGTGCGCGCGTCAAGATTTTAACGACGGGCAAGAGAGTGTGGTCCTATTTGTACCTTCGCCTTTCGGCTTTCGATGTGTCGCGATTGTGTAACGGAGATTAAAATATTCTTACTCAATGTTGAACACAGTTGTTAGTGGGCTCTGAATTAAAGAAAACCAAAAAAAAAATCGAGAAAAAAGGTAGAGAGAGAAAGAACAAAAAAAAAACACACACACACATACACACAGACAGAGAAAAGGAAGAAGACGAAGAGTCTGGTGCGGCAGCGGAAGAGTAGTGATATCTAGATGTAAGTCGCGCGCGGCTGTTGCGATTCACGAGACTCGAGGCGAATTTAACTGCACGAACACGAAACGAGTCGCCGACAATCTTTCTTACTACGACGCGGGAGTCCGAGAGAGGAGAGAAAAAGAGAGAGAGAGAAAGCGAAGGAGAGAGAGAGAGAGAGAGAGAGAGAGAATCGATGGACCTACCTGGAGCGATCGAAAGCTCGGGACTTGTGCGTGACGGCTCTTGAATGCTCGTGTTGTCGTCCGGGCATCCATCCGGCCACCGTTTAGAAGCTATCATCGTCTCACCGGTTGTTCCGTCGCATCGAGAACGTCACACCGGACACCGCTTGAGCGACGATGACAGGAGGAGAGCAACTATCCCCGCAGCAGCCCCGCGTGTTTCTTGACGCGAAACTCCAGCTTGTCCTGTCGCACCTTCTGTCGCGAAGCTCTCTGCTTTCTCGGAGGATTCTGTTTGGCTTGACACGTGTACATGTACGTATCGTTAGCGCTTGTGCGCCGCTTTAGGCTGGATCTGCGACAGGTGTGGTAATACCTTGAGCTCTGAGCGCCAAATTGTAACGTAATTCCTGGCGGAAAGCGTTTCCAGCGCTGCCGGACGTCGCAATTCGGAGGATTTAACCGCTGGGGCGGTTGCAAAGTCGTACAGTCGCAGTCGTTCGAGTCGGCCCAATTCCAGGGAATACACAGGAAGAAAGGTTTCTTTGGATTTGGTGTTTGTTTCACTTGGGTTTGTTTATATAAACAATTTAATATCAAATATTATTTTGCTTGAATAAAAATTTCACTCGAGTTATTTCATTAAAGTAAATCATGTTGTTTGATAGAAAAAAAAGCAGTACTATTTAGAGAAGTAATATTTCGTTTTCATTAAGAGAATTTATGAATATTATGGCAAAGATGCAGAAATTGGAACTCGTCTAAAACATTGCAATTATGCATGTATTACTTACTGTGAAAATGATAGATTATCTATACATCGTATCTTAGTATTTAAACAAATCATTTCCAATATAATGTTGATTTCTTTGTGATTCGTACCTAATTTGGTCTTAAATTGAGAAAAAGTAATAATGTTTCTAGTTTTGTTTTAAATAAGATCTTTTATACGATTGTTATTTCCACATATATATATATATATATACATATATAACTTCTTAAAGTGATTTTTTTGTTGAAGATGTTAATTTTCATTGGAGGACATTTGTCATCCACTCTACTCAGAGTTAAATATTGCTACTTTTGGCAACGCGGGAAACTCTTTTTGCCAGAAATCACATTACATTTTATTGTTTAGACCAAAAAGCTGAAGGCTTACCGCACCTATGGTAGATCCGGATTTACGCCGATCGTCGTTGCTCCACGCCGATCCGCTCGATCGTGCTTTGGATTTCGCGCCGCCACGAAGTCCCCTGTGCTGTCACGCGAGGATATTGTATGTTATGAATTACGAATTATATATTATACATCATTTTTTATTTACGTTATCTGCACGTAGTATTATTTCACATCGCTCTGCTTAATTACCTACAAATTAGCATAAATTAAGACGATTTCCTAATTCGATCCTACTTACAGACGCCGCGATTTTAAACGGACATGGGTGCGGTTAATTGGCAATTAGAGACGCCGTCTCGGCGCCGAGGTCTGTTCTACGGAAGCGTGTAACTAACAATCGCATAATCGTTGCGACAAATATCGTAATAGATCACAGATCCTCCTCTCTTTCGTGCGAATAATAAAGGTGCCCCTGGCAGCGCAATTCACTGGCGATCCACTGATCCGATATCGGTGATATTCATTGGAGATACATTGAATGAATGTTGCCCGATATAAAGTCAGCCAGACAACCAAACCTGTGTAAGAGCAGACTTATCCGAATATGTCAATATCACCGATATCGGACTGATGTATCGGCAATGAGTTGCGCTACTATTGGTGACGAGCGGCTCAGTGTGGAACAACGCTACCGTCGGCACAGCGTGTGCACACGTGGCTTTTCTTCGGCCCGCTCAGGGAAGCACGTCGAAGGAGCACCTCGCAAGCTTCCGCTGGTCCGAAATTAGAAGCCGACTTGTCCTGTGATCTCCCCGAGACGATGCGTTACATCGCGCGGGTACTCGACGCGGGCATTTGTGCTACGTCGGGACGATTCGGAGCACGAAATTCAAGTACGACCGGAGCGAAGTCGGCGGGATTGACGTAGCTGGTTGCGGAAAGCTACCAAGGTCTCAGAGACAGGTAAGAAGAAGCAGATGAAGACACAAACCAACCGAGGAAGAGGGCGAGGGATCACGACGGACGACGAGGACGTCGAGCACCGAAGTGAAGCTACAGCCGCGGAAGAACGGAAATAAACGCAAGACGGCGCGTTGAGATCCGCATCGATCGATTTCGTCATTCCGATTCCGCTTCGTTAGAAACGCATTGTATGTACATACGACGAGTGGAGCTCACTGCGGGAGCTTTCCAGCAAGAGACGCAGTTGACACGGGGTGTAACACGGTGTCGCTGTAAGCTTACCTGTAACGACACACAACACGGCTGCGGAGTCGAGTCGTGTCGGTATCGTGGCTGCCAACGTTTTTCGTAATTTTGATATAATTCTTATATTCGTAGAATTAAAATTACACCGAATAGTTGCTTTCTCTCATTGCGGTGCTTCGCGGCGATTCTCAACACGCTTCAAGTCTTTCCATATACACACGATGTTTATTATGATAAAATATAAGCTCAGAATGCACGTTAACATTAGTAATAAATAGTAGTCAATACTCCACAGCGATTCATGCCTCGTCAAGCAGCAAATATTTTTGCGTGACAGCGCAATAAGAGATAAAATTGCTAGCTTCTCCGTTTGAAGTAGAGCCGAAGAGACCGCGCTTCAGGGATGATTAATGACGTTTCGAGTTTTGTGATCAGCTAACGGAAGCTTACGACGTTACCAATCACTTCTGGAACTCCTGCTTCATTCGAATACATCGTACATGATATTCGCTGATATCTACTATACATTATTACCGCCAGCTAGCGATTGTTCCGAAAATCAAGGTGCTCCATCAAGGCACCTATGCATTGTGTTCAATTGTGTGACACAGTGCCTACCCTGCTGTTTCCTTGCTGGAAAGCGCCCCGAGATCAGCGACGTGCGGCGTGTATACCGAAATCCGGTATCGACGGATCGATAGACACCGTGTAACGTCAGGCCTGTTCTTCCCGGTTGAACCAGCTGAACTCGCGTCGGCATCTCGCTCCCTCTCCCTTCAACGCAGGGTCACGTATTCGTCTCGCTTCGAAGGCAAAAGGCTAGCTCAGTCAGCTGGTTCGGCAGAAAAGAGCGGACCTCTTGTTGTTAATCAGCCTCTCGTTAGACTCGTTTCGCTCGATGAGATCGCTTTTCATTACGCGACGAAGGGTGACAACGACGATGTCGATAAGAGAAGTTAGGATGATGGAAGGCAGGCGGATTCCTTTTCGTCACACGTACAAGATTCGCACACACATACACATACTTTGTAAAAATATTTCACGCGAGAGTCCTGTACGTCACGCCGATACAACGAAAGCGCCGCGAATGATTTTTATCTACATATAGCACAGCCGCACGAAACTCGTGTCAGACTCGGTGCCTGGCGGTTGAGGGTCTCGGGTCGAGGATTAGAAGTAGATTGATCGAAACTGGAGCGAGATCAGTCGGTTCGTTGGATTCTAATCTCCCCATCGGCGAGCGTTAAGTCTCCGAAGGTGACTTTCACTTTCAAGATCGGGCTGATCGACGAACGATAATAAAGAATCGCCGGCACCAATTTCCAGGTCTGCAACTCGTCGTTCAGCGATAAGCTAGTGATTTCTATTTGCGTTAACGACATGAACTGCGGGCAACATTCGACCGACAGCAATCTTAATCGAATGACGAGATTGGATCGGATCCGACCGGATTCATATTCTAATGCTTGATGAAGCGTGTTACATTTCAGATGTTTTACATATTTTGCGATATATTTTATTTTAAATATTTTCCAACTTGCTGTGAGAATAAAAAGTGCCTAGTGTCGAGGAAATTAGTTGAAAAATCTGCAAAATGCTTTTACCGGTCGGATCCGACCCGTTTTGTTAATCGAGGGTTAAATCGCCGATTGTAAGCTTAATCGGACTTTGATCTGAAGATCACCTCGAGTCTGACGAGGATTTTGCACTCGGACGCGAGTTACACGTGTTCTCGACACGACGAATCTCTTTCTCTTTTCTTCCTTCTCTCTCTCTCTCTCTCTCTCTCTCTCTCTCTTTCTCCCCTTTGCGAACGTTCCTCGCGGTGGAACCAATTAATCAAGTCGCCGACTGGGGTTACGATCGTGGGATACGCGATAAGGAGCGTCCGCGTGGTGGTGACGCCGTTGTGTGTTCTTTAGTACGAAGGACCGCACGATTCGTCGTGGCCGATCGGCACGCAGACTCGCGTCTTCACACATCGTTCGCGATGATGTTGCGCGCGTCACGCCGATAATTAGCGCGCTTATATCCACGCTCCCGGCCGAAGAGAAGAGGAGGTTCCGCGTGTGCTGTTGCACGATGGAAGGCCCGTACAGCTCTCTCTCTCTCTCTCTCTCTCTCTCTTTCTCTCTCTCTCTCGGTACAACATTTCGCTTATTCGATTTACTGCCAAAATCGTGACGCTCCAAATTGTACACGTCTACGAGATCGTCATGTCGAGCCTAGATATATACATATATACATACCATACATACACATATATAATATATAAACCATAAAAAAAAGAGCAAGGGAGAAGAGATATTCACGCAATTTTCTCTCCGTCTGTCTGTCTGTCGACTTGTCGCCAAGGACGACTCGGACTCCTCCGAAACAGAGCCGCGCAGACACCCTCCGGTCGCGAGCCCGGCCTTAAGGACGACGAATGATCGGCGACTGATGAAGAAGAAGAAGGGAATCTCGCGCGAGAGAGAGCCCCTTACTCCGTGTAACTTATTAGCCTCTCGTTTCGTCCGATCCCGCCGCGAGTTCGTTCGATTCGCGGACGGCGGTGTGTCGTAACGGGGAGAAAAAAGAAGCATAGATGAGGGGAGGAGATATTTGCGAGGAGATAGGAAGAGGAGGAAAAAAAAGACGAGGAAGATAATAAGATCGGGGACACTAACGACTAAGGTGTGCGTAACGAGCATTACGTAACATTACGGTACTTTTGCGCGTTCCCGATTCTCACCCTATCCTCTTCTCCATCCATCCATCCATCCACCCACCCACCCATCCCCCTNACCCTCCGATCGCATTATAGAGGTGGGTCATTTATTACAATAATTGCAGAGATTATTATGGCTATATATATATTATATATATATATATAAATATATATTATATATTAGGAAAATATTGAGATACTCTCTCCCGTAATAAAGAACACGCCGACGCTTCCTGTGAGCCCTGGATTGTTTCAATCGTTTCCACCACGTGCGTGCCTCCCGGGTTTGAGTTGCGGCCGTACAATAGTAACCAACAGCAACGATCGCTACGTCGTGCGACTTCCCCCCCCCCCCCCC